GATGACACAGAAAACCCTTTTCTTCCTATGTTCTTCAGTTTAACTTTTCTTTTTATTATAGTTAAACCAGGCACTGTGGAGTGCCTTCTTCTGCTCTTGTGAAGGTGGCTTGGCACATACATAACTGTTCCAACCAGGGTCTCGGTGGGGAGACAATCACCAGTGCATCTTACTCAGCCACTATCTTGCTCCAGCCCCTAGTTATAACTCTTAATGATGAGGAACAGACAAAGTGCAGAGAGGCAATCAAAGGAAATAAGAACCTTGATGTTCACAGGGTACATTGGAAGGCAAACAAACGGGATTAATGAGTCAGTCTCGGGCAGCCTTTTCCTGGATTGGTTTCTCCTGTATGCAGTCAGAAAGCCTATGCAGCAGTGAAACACAATCCCTGGCCTCCGCAGCCCCTTTCTTCAAACTCAAGAGCAGGTCACCTAATAGTTGCCATAATAGTAATAGATATTGGATAAACCCACAGTTCAGGCCTGTTTAAGCTGTCTCCAAGGGTATTCAATTTCCTCTAAAGGCATTGTTTACAGATACTGAAACCAGAAGTTGCCGGTGATGCCCTGTGGACACAACTATGTAAGAAAGGTAATGCTGGGGTCAGCATTGTGGTGTAGCACGTTTAGCCACAGCTCGTTAACACCACCATCCTATATTGGAGTGCTAATTTGAGTTCTGCTGCCCTGGCTCTGATCCAACTACCTGCTAATGCCCTGGGAAGGCAGCAGAAGATGGCTCCTTGGGCCCCTGCCACCCACACAGGAGACCCAGATAGAGTTCCAGCATCCTGGCTTGCACTGTTCCAGACCTGGCTGTTGTGACCATTTGAAAAGTGAACCAGTGGGTAGAAAATGGATCTCTCTCTCTCTCTCTCTCTCTCTCTTTGTCTCTCTACCTTCCTCTTCTCTCTCCCTCTCTCTCACCTCTGCCTTTCAAATACACCAATAAATAAATCTAGAAAGAAAGAAACAGAAAAGAGGAAGAAACTGCTAAACTCCAGAATGATGTACCTATAATTTTTGGCTTAGTGTCAAAAGGTCAGCAAATAAATGCACATTTATACATTTTAAGTTAAAATAACTTTTCTAGGAAAACTGATGAATGATGTTTATGCTTTTAACTTTAATCATCTTTTTCACTTAAGCAGTCAACCACCAGCCCTGATCACATAGGATCCAAGAGCTCTTCGTGTATGATGCTAAATCCTGCCCAAGAGCAAGAGTCTGTCCGATAATACCATCACCTTCTCAAAGTTCTTAGAGCGAGACCCAGGCCTTCAATTACTGCATTATTAAGCCATTTCATTTATGACATCAAGTATTTGTTTTATAAATGATTACTGGAAAATGAATTGATAAATAATAACAGAATAAAGATGTGGAGATTCTTCCAAAGTCCATCTCACCTGGTCCCCTAAAGTAGCCTAAACTAATTAATTTAAATGCTAGTGTTTTCCTTGCGAAAGTTCATTAGAGAATAACATAGTTTTAAACCCATCCTTGTTTTGGAGATGTAATGATCTGTCTCTCTTCTAATCTAAGTCATGTAGTCTAAAATGCACATTATTTTTTCTTGTCTGTTCTGAAAAATATTGACAGTTCATTGCTGAATCTACTTGGTTTCCCCAGATCTCCCTAAGTGACTCATTTTAAAAAACACTCATAATTAATCATTTGATGCTGACAATGTGCCAGGCATTGTACTAGGTGTTGGGGACATTGCAGGAAACAAGATAGTCACTATCTGCTTCTTAAACTACCTCCATCATGGGGTCAGCATTGTGGCACGATGTGTTCAGCCACTGCTTGTAATGCTGCCATCCTACACTGGAATGCCAGTTTGAGTCTTGGCTGCTCCACTTTCAATCCAGCTCCCTGCTAATGGGAAAGCAGCAGATGATGACCCAAGTATTTGGACCCCTGCCATTCACATGGGAGACCCAGATGTAGTTCCTGGCTCCTGGCTTCAGCCTGGACCAGCCCTGGCTGTTACAGCCATTTGGGGAATGAACCAGTGGGAGGAAAATAAATCTCTCTTTCTCTCACATTGTCTCTTCCTCGCAGTCACTCTGCCTTTAAAATAAACCTTTAAAAAATACTCTAATCACAAAGGCATAAAAATACCCATTAAGAGTGCTTTTTTTAAGGTTCTGAAACAAATCCATTGATAAGGCCATGACTAGGGTAAATCAAGTAAGGCATCAACAGTGCAGAATTACAGGAGGTATCACTCTCAGGTTCCCCAGGAGGGACCATTCATTCCACAGCCCAGTCCCTCCCTGCTGGTGGATTCCCCCCTTCCTCCTCCTGTCTATGTTTTGCTTTTTTGTAGCCAAGATTCCAGAATCTTATTTATCCCATTCATTCATAGCCCACTATAAATAAATATCTGAGCCTTTTTGCCATGTGTGCTTGCTATATCTTGGCATGGTTTGCAACTAGGAAGAGATTTTAAAGATTTGTTTAGCCATAAACATCTTAGTCTTACTACTCCTCAGCAAGAAATGACTATTTTATTTTTTAGCTAATAAATTAGCAAGCAAACCTGAGAGTTATAAATAACTGTCTTACTCTGAGGTGTAGACAGATTTCATCAAATACAGATGCCTAAACTTATAGGAGAGTTAAGGTGTTATGAAAAATCTCTTGCTGAAATAATGTACTGAGAAACAGGATAAGGCAGCAGTAAAGAGGTTAGTGGTAAAAAGATCTGAGTCCAAAGTCAAGTTCTGACATTTACCAGCTGCATTACAAAACAAGTAAGATGTAATCCCTGCCACCCAGAGGTAGACATCCAATTGGAATGATAAATAGGTGACAAAACACAGTGAGACAAGGACAGGGATGGAGATGTTCACAGTCTTAGGGAGCACAGCACAAGAAGCCCAGAGAAAGACAGAGGAGATGTTATGGTCCGATTGTCTGCGTTCCCTCCAAATTCATGTGCTGAATGAACACTACCCAGCAATGTGAGGGTAGAGACTAATGAATTACCTTCTGGTAATAAGGATTTAATGCAAATGGGCACAAGGAAATAAGAGACAGAAACCTAACTGCACATCAGGATAGCCACATTTCATTTAGAACATTCAGGAAGCAGCACAATCCTTAGCACACAGTTTTCCTTGGTTCTCCTGAAAGTGGATCCATTTCCCTTCTAGTGATCCATGGGCTTGGTGTCCTCACAAAAGAGACTTTAGAGACCGAGCCCTTCCCTCCCTCCAGGTGAGACACAGCAAGAAGGCTGTGGGAAAAACAGTGCTCACTCAACAGCTGACGGCTTCATGTTAGACTTCCCAGCCTCCATGGCTGGGAGGGAAAAAAGCCCTACTGTTGACAAGCTACTTACTCTATCGTATGAGTATATTGTTAGAGCAGCCCACAGGGACTGGGGAAGGCTTAAGGAGAAAGAGCACCTGAACTGAATATTTTTTAATATTTATTAATTTATTTGAAGGCAGAGATAGAGGAAGGAAAGGATGGAGGGAGGGGAAAGAGTGAGAGAAGGAGAGAGGAAGAGAGAGAGAGAAAAAAGGAGAGAGAAAGAGAATCTTCCATCTACTGGTTCACTCCCTAGCAGGCCACAGTGACTGGGATTGGGCCAGGCTGAAGCCAGAAGCCTGTAACTCCACCTGGGTCTCCCATGTGGGTGCAGGGGCCCGAGAACTTGGAACGTCTTCTGCTGCTTTCCCAGGCACATTAGCAAAGAGCTGGATTGGAAGCAGAACAGCCAAGAGTCTAACCAACACCCATATGGGATGCCACCACTGCAGGCAGTGGCTTAAACATGTTGTGCCAAAATACCAGCCCATTGAGCTGACTTTTAAGGTAAGACTCATAGTTAACCATGAGTGGAAGAGAAAAAAGTAATCTAGGCAGAGGGGACCTCAGAACTGTTAAAATGTTTCCAGAATGAGACTAAAAGATTAGTTCTGCTAATAAGGATTTCATGCAAAAGTACAGAAGGAACAGAAATCTATCTCTACATCAAGATACTCAGATCTCATTTAGAACATTCAGAAATCAACACAATTCTTAGCACTCAGTTTTCATGGGTTCTCCTCGAAGTGGATCCAAAGTGATCCATCACACGGATGGTTAAGCCTGCCTCTCTCTCTCTCTCCCTCTCTCTCTCCCTCTCCCTCTCCCTCTCCCTCTTCCTCTCTCTCCTGATTCCCCAACTCCAGACACTGCTCTTTTTACCTCATTTCCTATGGTTTTCGTCTTCATGGTGTTTACTACTACTGAGCTTCTGCCTACCACATTTTCCCTGTACATCTTGGCTTCTTTTCATCCTACTGTCTGTTGATTTTCCGTTCATTGCATTCAAATTTGCCAAAAGAAGGAATCTGTTGGCCAGGCTTCATCCGAAATTGAGAAGCCCTATTGAGCAGAGTTTTTATGTCAGGCCACTTCTGCTGTGGGTGCGGTGAGGTCACACAGTCCAGGGCACTCTAAGCCACACACAAATGGATTGGTTCAGAAGCATTGTCTCCAGTGTCCTGTGCAAATGCACTGAAGTACAAAATCAGTACTGCTAGTAAATGCAAGCTCTTAGCCATGTTGGAAAATAAACGTGGAACTGGGAATGTCTAGGGCTGAGACAGATCCAGGTCCTGGACAGTTCTGTGGTCAGGTTTAAGATGCAGCAATGGGGCCAACACTGTGGCTCAGTAAGTTAAGCCTCTGTCTGAGGCGTCAGCATCCCATATGGGCACTGGTTCTAGTCCTAGTTGCTCCTCTTCTGATCCAGCTCCCTGCTACAGCCTGGGAAAGCATTAGAAGATGGCCCAGGCGATTGGGCCCCTACACCCATGTGGGAGACCAGGAAGAAGCTCCTGGTTTCTGGCTTTGGATCAGCGCAGCTCCTGCCATTGCAGCCATTTGGGGAGTGAACTGGTGGATGAAAGACCTCTCTGTCTTTCCCCTCACTGTATGTAACTCTACCTCTCAAAAAAATAAATAAAAGTCTTTAAAAAAAAAAGAAGTAACAGGGTACTAGCTTCTCTGGCACATATACTACAATTGGAATGATACAGAGAAGATCAGCATGGCCCCAAGCAAGGATGACATACAAATTCATGAAGTGTTCCATATTTTTAATCCTTAACTTTGTGATATTAATATCTCTGTTTTCAAGAAAAATAAAAATCAATAAAAGATCATTCAAGTTGGATGACAATAAAAGTAATAGGATTTGAATTAATTTTTAGAAAGGTGTATCAGGAATGAATCTGTCCATGGATTCTGATATAGAGGAATGCCACATATGAAGGGACTTAAAGATCTTTGAAAAAGATTCTGATGGGATGGCCAAAGAGAGAAGTCAGCATTCACCTCCTCCCCTAACAGAGAAGATTCAAATCAGCTACATCTCAAGATGAGGGCCCAAGGAAGTGTACCCAAAGGACTAAGGGAACGGTGGGAGCATAGTTGGAAACAGAGACCAGGAACAGCAGTATAGAAAGAAGAACAAAGCCATTGGTGGTGATTGAATGCTAGTCCCATGTTGCAGGGGACAGGGTGAGCAGGAGAGCCTCAGCAGGGCCCAGAATTCGGTCACCACTGATGAGCAGCTCAGCAAGGAGAGCTCCCAGGAAACTCAGGGCCCCACTGCTTCAGAGGAGGAACATGGTGTCCCCTCCACCAGCCCTCAGAGAGCAGGCTGCAGAAGTGCGACACCACCTTGAGAAAGGAGTCAATGTCAGAAGCCATACTGTAGTGGGAGACAGCAGCCCTTGCATATCTTCTTTCGAAGGACCCCCACATTCTAGCAAGGAAGGTTGAGTCTCAAAGATCCAAGAAAACCCAAAAGAGCAACAGTGACCACAGCACTTTAACCCGCACTTTGCTCTGCACCACAGAGGGCAGCGGGAACAGGGCAGCTGGGACATCCAGACCCTAAGATCCTCCAAGTAAGACACTGCACTCTGAGATTTGAGGATTTTCCTCTTCCCCTCTGCCTCCATGCCCTGACCACTTGAAGTATCAGTGGTTGCTGCTAGAATGTGTGCACACCTGGACTCAGACAGCATCCCTGTGCCCCTCCTCAGTCTGCCTATGGAGGCTCAGAGCTCCCTCTGCACTAGGGTCAGTTCTTGTATTTAAGTGTGAGCACAGAACAGGGAATGTGCACATGTTCTGGACAGTGTGCACATTTGGGAGAGTGAACTTTCCCAGGACCATGCATTCACTCTAAACAGTGAACCAGCCTGCTCCCAACAGCAGCACAGAGAAGGGCCCGCAGGCTAAGCTCTGCACTGTTCAGATCCAGCCCCTCCCACTGACAGTAGCCAAAGATTCTGTGCTTTTCCTCAGGCATCGCTCTAGACTCTTGCTCCTTTCACAAACAGTTGCCTGGACTTTCTGACCCCATCCAAAACAATGGCTGGGGGCTTTCACTTGGGCTTGCCATGCTACATCTAGCATAGCACGCAGTGTACTCACTCAGAGCTTCGAACCAGGCTCTCCATACCTTACCTAAGGCAGCACACGGAGCTTCACTCGGGGCTTTGGCCTGGGCTTTTATGGCAGACCCAGTCCAGTACATCATTCATTTGTTGGAGTCTCTGACCCAGAGTTTCTGTGCTTTGTCCAGGCCCAGGGAAGGAACTCCAGCGACCCCCGCAGAAGCTGCCGAGTTTCTATGTTTGACCCAAGGCTACTACATTGCTGCTTGCTTGCAGCTACATGGTGTTCCAGTACCCCACCCAGCTCAGCAAGAAGTCTATGGAGAATGGCCTAGGACTGCCTTTTCTGCTTTCCTAGAGGCAAAGTCACTCTCACAGGTCCAGCCACTCTCAAACATCTGTGGGGCCCACCTCCTCCATCAAGCATTAAAGTGACTCATGGGGCTCTGGAGCCAGGAAGAAGCTGGGAGTCTGTAAGAACATCCAGCTCCTACAGCCAGTGATGACCTTGCAATGCCAGCTCCAGACTTGGATATTGGTTCAGAGTCTACGTGCTGGGCCCACCCACAGCAGAAGCATGTACTCTCAACAACTAAGAAACTCCTGATTCTGCTCCCTGCTTCAGGAAACAGCTGGGGACCTGTATGACAGGGACCTAATCAACAGCACGAAGCTACAGGAGCACTCCAGATCTCTACTACTACTATCATCAACTATAGCAAATAAATTTATAGGGAGACTGCACTATGAGATCCAAGTAGAACTAAAGCCAAAGTAGTCTACCAAACCAATAAACAAAGGCACATCTTCAGGAAAAAGCTTTTAATCAGCAAAGCCATCCTCTAAAGGTAATATAAACAACTGATCCCCAAATGTACAGAAATTGGTGTAGGAACATAGAAAATATGAAAAAACAAGGCAAGATGATGCCTCAAAAGAGTTCAAAAGAATTTTTTTAAGGTTACTCAAAGAGATACAAGAGAATGCAAGTAAACAGTTAAATGAAATTAGGAAATCAGTGCAAGACATAAATGAGATAAAGAAATGGAGATGTTCCTTCCTTTCCTAATTTGTGGAGGGTTTTTATCATGAAGGGGAGTTGAAACTTGTCAAATGCTTTCTCTGCATCTACTGAGATGACTATATGGTTGTTGCTCTTCATTATATTGATGCAATTTATGATGTTTATTGATTTGCAAATGTTGAACCACCCTTGAATTTCTTGGATAAATCCCACTTGCTCACGATATATGATTTTTGATCTGGTTTTGGGTTCAATTTGCTAGTATCTTGTTGAGAATTTCTGTATCTATGCTCATTAAGGATGTAAATCTGTAGTTTTCATATCATGCCTTTAGTTTTGGTATCAAAGTAATGCTGGTCTCATAAAAATAGTTTTGCAGAGTTCTATCCTGTTCAATATTTTATAATAGTTTGAATAATATTGGAATTATTTCCTCTTTGATTGTTTTGTAGAAGTCAGTGGTAAAGCCATCAGGTTCCAGACTTTTCCTTGATGGAACACTTTTGATTACTGCTTCAATGTCATTGCTTATTATGGATATGTTTAGGTTGTTTTTATCTTGTTGAATTAATCTTCGTAGGTTACATATATCCAGGAAGTTATCCATTTCTTTGAGGATTTCCAGTTTATTACCATATAGTGCTTCATAGCAGTCCCTTTGATCCTTTGTATTTCACTGGTGTCAGTTGTAATGTCTCCTTTTTCATCTCTAATTTTATTGATTTGAGTATTTTCTCTGTTTTTCTTTGTTAGTCTGGTTGGGGTTTATTTATTTTGTTTATCTTCTCAAAAAACCAACTTTTTGTTTTGTTTATCTTTTGTATTTTTAGTTTCAATTTCATTTATTTCTGCTCTGATCCTTATTATTTCTTGCCTCCTGCTGATTTAGGGTTTGATTTGTTCTTGTTTTTCTAAGTATTCAAGATGCATCATTAGATCTTTTATTTGAGACATTTCTCTTTTTTTAATGTGAGCACTTAATGATATCATCTTCTCTCTTAATACTGCTTTTGCTGTATCCCACAGGTTTTGATATGTTATGTTTTCATTTTCATTTATTTCAAGAAAGTTTTTGATTTCCTTTTTAATTTCTTCAATGACTCATTCATCATTCAGCAGCTTGTTGTTTAATTTCCAAGTATTTATGAATGTTCTATTGCTCCTCTTGTTGTTGATTTCTAGTTTGATTATTTTATGATCTGAGAAGACATGTGGTATAATTCCAAACTTTTTAAACTTGTTCACAATGGATCATAATGATAGGACTAAGAGTCAAAGAGATCACATAAACAAGACTAGTGTCTGCAAATACTAACTGATAGAATCAAAAAGGGAGAGAACAATCCAACATGAGAAGCAGGATACACAGCAGACTCATAGAATGGCAGATGTCCTAAATAGCACTCTGGCCTCAGAATCAGCCCTTAAAGCATTCAGATCCAGCTGAAGAGCCCATGAGAGTAGTTTAGGCATGGAAAGCCAAGACACTCTGGCAAAAAGAAAAAAAAAAACTAAATGAAAGATCTCTGCGAGTATGATCCCAGTGGAAAGAATGGGCCATCAAAAAAGGAAGTACCTTTCTCTGAATGGAGGAGTGAACCTCCACTTTGATTATGACCTTGTCTAAATAAGATCAGAGTTGGTGAACTCAAAAGGCTTCCATAGCCCTGGCAACTCATGACAAGAGCCTCGGGTGATTACAGACACCATAAACAAGAGTGTCAAATTGTTAAGTCAACAACAGGAGTCACTGTGCACTTACTCCTCATGTAGGATCTCTGTCCTTAATGTGTTGTCCAATGTGAATTAATGCTATAACTAGTACTCAAACAGTACTTTACACTTTGTGTTTCTGTGTGGGTGCAAACTGTTGAAATCTTTGCTTAATATACACTAAATTGATCTTCTGTATATAAAGAGAATTGAAAATGAATCATGATGTGAATGGAATGGGAGAGGGAGCAGGAGATGAGAGGGTTGTGGGTGGGAGGGAAGTTATGGGGAGGAAAAACTCACTGTAATCCAAAAGCTGTACTTTGGAAATTTATATTTATTAAATAAAAGTTTAAAAAAACTTGCTGAAACTTTGTGGCCTAATATGTGGTCTTTCCTAAAAAATGTTCCATGTGCTGATGAAAAGAATGTGTGTTCAGGAGCCTTTGGGTGAAATGTCCTGTAAATGTCTGTTAGGTCCATTATTTGATAGTATGCTACTACTCTGATATATATTGATTTTCCATCTGGATGATCTGTCCATTGATGACAGTGGGGTGTTGAAGTCATCCACTATTATTGTATTGGAGTCTATCTTCACTTTAGGTGTAATGGTATTTGTTTTATATATCTGGATGGTCTTGTGTTAGGTGCATATATATTTATGATTGTTATATCTTCTTGTTGAATTGAATCTTTTATCAATATATAATGTCCTTATTTATTTCTTTGTACAGTTTTTTATTTAAAGTCTGTTTTATCTGATACCAGGATAGCTATGCCCTTGATTTTGATTTCCATTTGTCTGGTATATCTTTTTTTCCAATCCTTCACTTTCACTTTATGTGTATTTTTGTTTGTGAAGTGAGTTTCTTGTAGGCAGTGTCAAGTGGTTTTTTGTTTGTTTGTTTGTTTGTATTTTATCAATTCAACCATCCTAAGTCTTTTGGTTGG